AGGGAGAGAGGGAGCACAGGCCGGAGGGGAAAAAAGGGCTGGGGGATGGGGAGGGGCGGGAGGAGGGGGGAGGAATAGACGGAGGGAGATGGCAGAGACGGAGGAGGGAGATTCCAGCACAAGTCCAATGTGTCGATTCCTCTATATTTAAAGTGATGCGTACCACGCCAAAACAACGATGAAACCGCCAGAGACTGGCGCTCGTGCTACATGGTGAAACAATGATATGCACGAGGGCGCGATAGAATCTTCGGTCTGGGCAGAGGCGTGCTCTAGTTCGCGAGCACGAGTGGCGGCCCCTGGTTGTCCCGAAGGGCCTGGCTCTCCTCTGGCTCTTGTCCAAGCTGGCTTACAAAATTCCCGGGCGCGGCCCGACAAGCTACCGACGAGGTGACCCACAAGGCCACTGGATCTTTCCAGACGGCCAGACTGCCTCCAACAGGCTTCCCACAAGCCCCGAGACCGCGACACCGCTGCTCCACGCGGCCGACAATTACGCCGTGCCTCGGGAGAAGGGTGTCGCTGGAACCACTCCGCCGTGGAACACGTTCGCATTCGGCCCGAAATTCATTGCATCCATGATTGCACAACCTGAGGCCAAACCAAAACATCCGCGTGAACTACAGGTCGAGGTCGAGGCCGCCCATGTGAAAGACGGCCAGCGGACGTGGCAGGCCGCGCCAGGAGCGCTCCATGGGGGGGCGCGTGGGCAGTCCCAAAGCCTACGTGAAGGGGCCCCAGGACACACAAACAAATACACACAAATAAAAAGATTCCCCGTATTTTCCTATATTTTCGTCTTTTTTGTCTTCCCCCCCATTTCCCATATTTTCCTATATTTTCTGGGGAATAGACGATGAATCGTGTCTGCGTGTTTTTCCCTCTCCTGACTACGTCGGGCAGACTTTGGAACGCTGCACACTCTGCAAAGATGAGGCACCCGGCTGGTCTTGGCGGCGCGCACAAGGGGGCGGAGAGGGGGGGGAGGGCTTCTTAGAAGGAGGCTGCTTCTTAGAACGCGCCGGCCTGACATCTGCAGACAAGGCCCGCGCCCTCTGAGAAGCAGGGGTGCGTCGAAGAAGCCCTCCCCCCTCCCCCCGCCCCCCTCTGCGCGTGGCTGATGGTCACGCGGTGGACGCTGTCGGCAGAGGCCCTGCGCCCACGCAGCAGCACCTCCGCGCCCACGGCCGGTCCCGCTCGGCGCTTCGCGTGGCCACGGAGCCTCTCTCAAGGATGCCCCCACGAGACCAAGATCCTCCCAAAGCCTTTCGTTTGTGTAATGGCTCTTGCTCTCGCACCTGTCCGCTTCCGATGGGATACCGAGGCAGCTAGATGGGTCCAGGATCACACACGGTGTCTCTAAGAGGCGCCCCAAGAGAGCTCCTCCTCCTCCTCCTCCTCCTCCTCCTCCTCCTCCTCCTCCTCCTCCTCCTCCTCCTTCCAAGAAGGACCCAAGGAAGGCCCGAGAGCGGCACAAGGGCGGGGATCAATGGGTGGCAGACCCCAAGGTGGCCCCAAAACAGCCCCGAGAGGCCCCAAAACAGTCCCAGGCTACTCCAGATTTCGTAATAAAGGGAGGGGGGTCTCATTTCGGGGGGGGGTCTCTTCCAGGCTATCTTGGAGGGCCTGGGGGGGGTCTGGGGACGATGTTTTGGAGGGTTCTCCCACGGGGGGGGTCTGAAATGGCTTGTCTTGGAGGGTCCAGACCCCCTCCCTTTTATTACGAAATCTGGGCTAGCCCAAGGTGGAACAAGACGGCCAAGATGGCCTCCAAGAAGCCCGCAAGACACGAAAACCGCTCAAAACCCCAGGGTGTTTAAACGATTTTGGCGATATGGCCTCTTCCTTCCCATGGCCTTCTGAGATCGCAAGACTGCCCAACATGACTCCAAGTGGACCCCAGAATTGCTTCCATCTGGTTCTAGAACCCCAATCGGCTCCAAGGGGGGCACAAGGTCCAAGGGGATGATGAATGGGTGGCAGGCACAAAGATGGTCCCAAAACAGCCCCACGAGGCCTGAAGATAGCCCCAGGGTGGCCCCAGGTGGGCCAAGACGGGCCCCCCGAGATCCCAAAAGACAAACATCCCCCGACCCCTTGGGGTTCATCGGCGTGTGAGATGTTTCCCCCTCCCCAAACCCCTCCCCCGGGAGCCAGGTCCAGTCGACTTGGAGGGGGGGGTCCCCCGGGGACTGGGTGAACGCGTCACGTGGGGACGAAGGGCCCCAAAACAGGCCAAGAGGGCACCAAGAGGCCCTCTGGACGGTCCAAGAGGGCCACGAGCCGCCGAAAGATCGATCGAAAACGCCCACGCTGGCCCCCAGACGGCCCAAGAGGCCCTCAAGACGCCCCAAGAAGCCGTCAAGAGACGGCCCAAGACGGTGTCAGAGAGCAAAACTCGCCCCATGTCCATGGGAAAATGTTCATTCTTAGCACATTCGCCCCTCCTGCGATCACAACATCCAAGACAGCCAAAGAGGCCTCAAACAAGGCTCTCAGACGACCCAAGAGGGCCCCAAGACCGCTCAAAAATGGAACCCATACGGACATGTCGGGCCTTCTACCCCGCACCGCCGCCCAGTTATCCCAAAAAGCCCCCAACAAGCTCCCGTGGAGCTCCGCGAGGCCCCAAAAAAAAACTGCTCACAAGCCCCCAGGAGGCCCCAAAGAGGCTCAAAAACTGTTTCCACAACGCCCCCGAAACGCCTCCTATGAGACCCCGTCCGCCATCCGCGGGGCCTCCGACCCGCAGCCCAGGCGCGGGTGGCGGGATGCGCCGAAGGCTGGTCGATAATCGTTTTCTGGAATGTGAACCGATGTCCGCCGTTTGTACACGTGGGCTCTCGCCAGTCTCCCTGTGCGTGCACGGCGAACATTGGAAATGTCAGCCTCGAAAATAACTGCTGTCAAGGCGGGTTGTACCGCGATTGCCGTGAGCCCCGGGGCATTTTTCTCCAAATAGGCTTGCCCTGTAGGAGTCCTAGCTCAAACCCTACTAATTGGTCCGTTGCCCCCCCCTCCTAATTCCTATACTCCCCCCTCGTTCTCCAAAAAGGCTTGCCCTGTAGGAGTCCTAGCTCAAACACTATTGGTCCGCTGCCCCCCCCCATGTCCTATGCCCCCCCGCTAATTCCTATGCCTATGCCTATGCCCATGCCTATGCCTATGCCTCCCCCCTAACTCCTATGCCTACGCCTATGTCTATGCCTGCTTGCTTGCTTGCTTGCTTGCTTGTTTGCGCGCTTGCGCGCTTGCACGCTTGCTTGCTTGCTTGCTTGCTCGCGTGCTTGCTTGCTTGCGTGCTTGCTTGCTTGCGTGCGCGCTTGCTTGCGAGCTTGCTTGCACGCTTGCTTGCTTGCTGAGTTGCGGATTCCAAGCATGTTTGATTCCTCTGATTCCTTGACTTGAGTCGTAGTCTATTTGGAGTCAACGCTGGCTGATATCAAAGAGCACGCGGCACCAGCATCGGCACCGACATTGGCCTTGCCGTCGTCATTGTCATCGTCGCCACAACCATCGCTACTATCATTATCGTTGTCGCCGTTGTCGACGTCATCATGATATCGCGCCCACCCGAATCACCGATCCGCACTGGAGAGCCCGCGGGCCAGAGCGGCCTTTGAGACGCACTGGGAAATTCCCATCGGAAAGCGCCATCGCGGCCGCATCAGTTGTCCCAAACCAGCTGGCCTCTCTAGGCGCGAGCTGGCGCGCGCCCAAAGAGGCCGCAAAGATGCGCCGGCCAGTGCCAAGCGTATCCGCAATAACGGCCGCATGAGTTTTGCAAAAAGACTGTTGGATGGGAGGGTGGGATGTTTGCACGAGCAGTGGAGTTGACATCTCATGAGTTGGCAACAACTAGTCAAACAGAATGTATTGCACCCCATGTGCTGCCTACAACGGGCTGCAAGAGCCCGCTGTTTGGGAACCACGCTGGCAAACACCTACAGGCGATGCAGAATGATACCGGTGGCATCGAGCACGTCTCCACTCCACCCTCCTCACTCGCCTATCCTCCCTGCCCTCCACTCCTCCTCACCACCGTCGTCCTCCACTCCCCCCCAGTGGGCAGGGGAGGAGAACGACGAGAAGGACACGGGGAGCGAGAGAGGAGGGCGCCTCTGCCTTCTCCTCCCCCTCCTCCCCCCCTCGCCCTCCTCCAGGGGGAGAAAAAGACATATACCGATACCGCCGCTCCCTGGACCTCTCCTGGGGTGCGCTCTGACCAAAATTCCGAAGAGAATCCCGCCGTGGTGACGAGAGCTCTCCAGGGCGAGCAGCGGCATCGGTATCCTCTCCGAGCCCACCTCCCCCCACCAGTGGGGGGGGCAAAGAGATGCCGACACCGCCACGCCCCGCGCCTCTCCCGCGGTGCGCCTCGGCCGCGGAGGTCCGAAGCGACTCCAGCTAAGGCACGACGAAGGACGGGCGACATCCAGCATCCGCTCCGCTGATCCTCCTCCTCCTCCTCCTCCTCCTCCTCCTCCTCCTCCTCCTCCTCCTCCTCCTCCTCCTCCTCCTCCTCCTCCTCCTCCTCCTCCTCCTCCTCCTCCTCCTCCTCCTCCTCCTCCTCCTCCCTCCTCCTCCTCCTCCTCCTCCTCCCTCCTCCTCCCCTCCTCCTCCTCCTCCTCCTCCTCCTCCTCTCCTCCTCCTCCTCCTCCTCCTCCTCCTCCTCCTCCTCCTCCTCCTCCTCCTCCTCCTCCTCCTCCTCCTCCTCCTCCTCCTCCTCCTCCTCCTCCTCCTCCTCCTCCTCCTCCTCCTCCTCCTCCTCCTCCTCCTCCTCCTCCTCCTCCTCCTCCTCCTCCTCCTCCCACTCCTCCTCCCCCTCCTCCTCCCCCTCCTCCTCCCCCTCCTCCTCCTCCTCCTCTCCTCCTCCCCCCTCCTCCTCCTCCTCCTCCCCTCCTCCTCCTCCTCCCGGCCCTCCTCCCGACGCCAGCCTCGCCTCGCGCCGCGCTCGGGGGCTCCGCCGCCCCCCCCGCCGCGCGCGGCCGAGGCGCGGCCGCTCTGCCGCCGTCAGGGCGGCGGCCCGCCCGCCGGCCCGCGCGGCGCGGGGGCCCTCCGTGCGCGGGCGAGCACCAGCCTGCAGGGGAAGGCCGGCGCCTCTGTGCAGGGGGGCCGGGCCGCGGCCAGGCAACACCCTGGATGTCCCTGGTCTGTGCACGGCCCCTGCGGGTCCCTCCTCGCTCCCGCGCTCCCTCCTCCTTCCTCCCTCCCTCCCTCCCCTGGCCCCTCCCTCCCTCCTCCTCCTCCTCCCTCCCCCCTCCTCCCTCCCTCCTGCCTCCCCCCCGCAGCCCTGGCACTCGTCCAGCTGTGGGACGGGTGGCCACCAGGACAGCCCTCCATCCCCCCGTCTCCTCCCTCCCCATCCCTCCCTCCTCTCCTCCCCCGTTCCCGCCCTAATCCCTCTCTCCCTCCCTCCCTCCCTCCCCCATCTCTCCTCCCTCACTCCTCCCTTTTCCTGACTCCTCTTCGCAAGCCAGGAGAGGCCGTGCACGAGTCCGGGGCCCCAGGGCCGGCCTGGCCAGGGCCGGCGGTCTTGCAGAGCCGCCGCTTCCCGGGGCCTCGCCGCTCTCCTGCAGCCATCGCCCCAGAAGTCGCCCTCTGGAAGCTGGATCCCGTAGAGGCCGACGGCCATGCCTGCGACTGGCGACTGGCGCAGAGGAGGGGAGGAGGAGGAGGAGGAGGAGGAGGAGGAGGAGGAGGAGGAGGAGGAGGAGGAGGAGGAGGAGGATGAGGAGGAGGAGGAGGAGGAGGAGGAGGAGGAGGAGGGAGGAGGAGGAGGGATGAGGAGGAGGAGGAGGAGGAGGAGGAGGAGGGGAAGGGGTATTTGGATGAACAGGATGGGGGAGAGGCGAGGAGGAGGAGGAGGAGGAAGAGGAGTGGACGACAAGGGAGGAAACCGGGGAGGGGGAGAGAAGAGAGGATGGGGAGGGAGGGGCGGAGGGATGGAGAGAAGTGAGGGGAGGAGGGAGGCAGGAGGAAGGAAGGCAGGAGGAATGGAGGAAGGGAGGAGTGAGGAGGGAAGAGGAAAGAGGAGAGAGGAGTAGCAGCAGCAGGGCGGAGGTGGAAGACAACTGGGGAAGGGAGGCAGGAGGCGAGAGGTGAGAGTCCTTCAAGTTTGGCAACTCGACCACGTAAGTGACGTCTAGAGTGTAAGGCCACACAGCAGCGAGTGTAGATGAGCATGTGGGAGACGGGAAAGTCTGGCATGGGGGGCGAATACCAAGATAAGGCTGAAAGCCACGTCATGAAACAAGGCGTGCAGCAGAGGAAAGTTGATCCACCCCGTTTGCGCTGAGACTCGGAAGCGTGCAGGTCCTACTCGGTCAGCCACCAGGGGCCGCATGGCTGCCGGGGTTTGGTGATTGACGGCCGTGGCGCGGGGGACCTGCGTGAGGGCGCGCTCGTAGGTGCCGTATTCAGTACCTGACAGTCCGTCGTGTCGTTTCGGTGGCAGGAGGGGATCCTGGACGTGACGAGGAGCTTGTCGTCGCGCCTTCCGTGGCGGCGGCCTCGTTGCGACGGCCCCGCTGCTTAAAAGTTGGGGAGGCTGGTGAAAGAGAGGTCGATGCGGGCAAGCTTGCTCGTCAGGGGTAGAGCGTGATGAAATAGTGGCAGCGGGACCGCTGAGGTTGGCGGTGAGAGAGGCTGCAGCTGCGTTGGTGCCCGCAGCCGCCTTGGCCGTCGCCAAAGGCCGCCTGGCGGCGCGGTTCCACCCCCCCCCCCGGTAGCACCAAACCTGCCCCCCCCCAGCCCACGTTGTAGAAGCGGGCGTGTGGCCAAGCGCAAGTTAACGGGCGAAGAACGGTATAAAATTAACTTTTCGCCGTCGGGGACACCTGCCCCAGGGCGGCTGGAAAGTTTATACCCTTACGGTGGCACCGTAGGGGTATAAACTTTCCAGCCGCCCAAGGGCTGGTGTCCCCGACGGCGAAAAAGTTTATTGGATTCCGTTCTTCGCTCGCTGAGCAAGTGCTTCAAGGTAGGTTGGCGGGCGGCGAAAGGGCTGCGCGGGGGGGGGGGGGCAACACGCGAGAAGCAGTGGCAGCGGGAAGGAGGAGGATCGGAGGGTGGTGAGGGACAGGTCGGTGCAGGCAGGCGGGCTCGTGAGGCAGAGCGTGAGACGTAGCGGCAGTGCGAGTGCTGAGGTTGGCGGTAAGAGGAGCTGCAGCCGGGCCGTCGCCGTGGAAGCTCGCGGTGCGGCGCCATCCCCCCACCGAAGCACCCCCCATCCGAGGTGGTAGAAGAGGGCGGGCGTTCGGGCGCAACTGCTGAGAAGTGGGGCGGCGCGTGGTGAAAGAGAGGTCGGTGCGGGCAAGCCTGCGCGTGAGGCAGAGCGTGAGAGACAGTGGCAGCGGGACCGCTGAGGCTGGCGGCGAGAGAGGCTGCAGCTGCGTTGGTGCCTGCAGCCGCCTTGGCCATCGCCAACGGCAGCCGGCGGCGCGGTTCCCATTCCCCCACTGGAATACAAGGAACACCATCCCATCCCGCCCCAGAAAAGTGGTGAAAGCGTAGGTCAGGTTGGGGGGAAGAGGGCGGAACATGTTAGAAGAGGGCAGTCAGTGGGGAGCGGGAGGTTGGGCGAGAACTCTCAATGGCCCAACTGATATTGGGTCCTTTTTGTCGTTGCCTCCGAGGCCCTACGACGGTGAAATTAAGGTGACACAAAAGGGGCGCGTGAGAGGACTCCATCAAGTGTCGATGATCCTGACACTGGTGGGTCAGAATGCTGCGGCGGGTTTGGGAGCACCGTGTTACCGCAAACCTACAGACATACGTCGGAGGGATGTGCGCCCACGGCAGAATGACGCCGGTCGAGTGGTGGATGAGAAAGCCACGACGGGTTTGGGAGCCCCGTGTCACCGTGGACCAACTGCAGTCCTCCTCTTCTGCCTCCTCCTCCGCCTCCTCCCCCCCGGAGGAGGAGGAGATGCAGGAGGAGGAGGAGGAGGAGGAGGAAGAGGAGGAGGAGGAGGAGGAGGAAGAGGAGGAGGAGGAGGATGCGGAGGAGGAGGAGGAGGAGGAGGAGGAGCGGAGCGAGGGAGGAGGAGGAGGAGGAAGAGGAGGAGGAGGAGGAGGAGGAGGAGGAGGAGGAGCGGGGTCCGCCTGCGACTGGCGCCTTCCAGCCCACGACCCGGACTCCCGCGAACTCGACCTGCGGCGCCCCGGGCAGCAGCAGCAGGCCCCCGAGCAGGCCCCCCCCGCAGGCGGCGCACGCCACGGCGCCGCTCCCGCCGGCCCGCTGGACGTAGTCGGCCAGCAGCCCCTGAGGCTCGCCCTCCTCGGCGGCGCGCCCAAGAAGGAGGAGGAGGAGGAGGACAATGAGGAGGAGGAGGAGGAGGAGGAGGAGGAGGAGGAGGAGGAGGAGGAGGAGGAGGAGGGGAATGAGGGGGAAGGAGGAGGGGAAGGAGGAGAGGAGGAGGAGGAGGAGGAGGAGGAGGAGGAGGAGAGGGCTCGCTTGGTGGCGCGAGGGCCTTTTTGCACATGTTTTGTGTGTATTTTGCGCAGCATTTTTTTCCTTGTGGGCAGGTTTGCACATCTTCTGCGTAAAGTGTGTCATATTTTTTGTTGCACTAAAACTGTGCAAACCATTTTTTGCGCGAGATCCTGGCGTCGCAGTGTGTTCACCACGCGTGAGCTTGCATCACGGATCGATGCGCCTCGAGACATGCCGCGGAGAGGGTGGTTCTGGGGCTCCCGTCGTGATTTCGCGATGCGACGGTTTATTCGCAGCGTCGGATCTCAGAAGGGGGGGCATCTAAGAAGGCGGGGGGGGCTTCCGAGAAGGCAGTGGTCTTCTCGGAGGCCCTCCTAGCTTCTAGGAGGGCTTCTCAGACCGTCGTTGAACCTATACCCGTCCCCACTGGCATAGCTTTGGCTCCAATGACAGATTCCCCCGCTTCAAGTGGGAGTTCATCCTGTTCCATCGGGGTTTCACGGGGGCCTATCCCCATCTTGGGGGGTGGGCTGACGGAACTGGGATACCATGACCGATTCTCAAAAGCCCCCCCCCCCGCCCACGCCTCCCCCTGAGATCTCCACGATTGGCCCGAGAAGGGCTCCCAAAAAGCCAGATGACGGCTCTTGACTCTGGGCCTCATGTCCTCATGTCGGCGGCGAGCCCAAGGGGGAAGTGAGAAGGGGCGTGCTTCCCCGAAGACACGGAAAACTGCTCAGAAGGCGCCAGGGCGTCTCAAAGTCCCGCCGCCTTCTGAGAAGGTCCCCTCCTTCTCGCTCCCCCCCCCTCGCTCTCCCCCGACAGAAGAGCTCCCAGAGAGCCAGACGACAGCTCTGGACTCTGGGCCTCGCGTGCACCCTCAGAGCAGGCCCCTCGCCTTCTCAGAGGCCACGTAAAACAGAGCTAGGATCGGGATAAATCGCTCCAGAGCGTTCCGGAGCGCTCTCAGAGCGTTCCGGAACGCTCTGGAGCGGCCGCGGCGCCCAATACATCCTCCAAACCCGCCGATTCTCAGAGATTTCGAGTTATCCCGATCCGATTTTGTCCCGATCTTCGCGTCGTCTCTACAGGGAGCCCGGAGACCCGACGGAGGGCCCCCCGGCGAGGGGAGGGCGGGGAGGCGGAGACGGAGCCGCACGCGGGTCCCGGAAAGCTCACCACCTGCATCCCTTCCTCCCTTCCTCCTCTCCTCCGCCTCCTCCTCCTCCTCCTCTCCTCCTCCTCCTCCTCCTCCTCCTCCTCCTCCTCCTCCTCCTCCTCCTCCTCCTCCTCTCCTCCTCCTCCTCCTCCTCCTCCTCCTCCTCCTCCTCCTCCTCCTCGCTAGAATAATATCTTCCTGAACCTCAGGTTCTCCTCCTCTAATCTTCCCAAGAAAGAAAGTGGAATACCTTTTCCTCGCTACTGGCCGGAAGCTCACCAGCGACTGTAATACCAGCAAGCAAACAAATATATTGATATCAGCAAGGGGAGGAAGGTAGGATGTTCCTCGATGTTACGTTGCCGTATATATATCTATATATATATATATATATATAATATATAATATATATATATATATAAAGAGAGAGAGAGAGAGAAAGGGAGAACTGCGCAGCTTGAGCCCGAACGGGCTATGGGACGCCGTCGAATGGCGGCGTACACACACCTGCTGCCTTGTATGCTCTAGCGGGGCTCGACTCGATCGGTGCTCTATCAAGTCGGCTCTGGACGTGGAGGTCTCTGACCCCATACATCCAACTCGTGCTTTACATAAAGCTGCAATCAGCACACGCGCACAGAGGGTGCACAGCAGATAGCGCGCACAGCAACTGAACAGCTCAGCGCCTACATTTAACAGCACTGCAGATCGCAGCTGTCTAGACTGCTAGCCGCAGACCGAGAGGGTCTGCCGTTCAAGCACAAGGCTCCAGGCATGCACACATCTAGCTGCGCGAGAGGGTTCTCGCCGAAATCTGCACACTGCTCGCAGTATTCTAGGTAGCGATAGCTTGCATGTCCTACGCACGGAGAACCTTAACAGCGTGCCGCAAGTGCCATACACCTGCCATAATCTGATGCAAGGGAAGCCGATCCAGCTTCCCTTTTGTCATGCCATCGACACACATATCCCGCGTGTCGATCCAATAAAATATATTGAGCACTCTGGTGCGAAGTAATTCACGAATATATGCTAAATGAAAGAACGTTCCCTTATCAGCAGGAAACTTCAAATGATCAGCTTGCAAATAACTAAACAACGAACCAGAGTCAGTAAAAGCCTCACTCTGCACAACAAAATTCTCCAGATTCTCGAATCTCCTTCATACGAACTGCAGGTCTGAGGTCCTTGACGTACTTCCTCAACGAATGATAAGATAAGAACCATCATGTCTAGCATATCAGATTGGTTGTGAATCTCAGCAGTCCAAACTCCTCGGCATAGGTGATTCTGCTTGCCTCCAAGGAAGGATAATTCCTGCAAGTCATACTTGGAAGTCTTCTCATCGTAGGGAGCTGAGCCCAATACAGATCCTCTCATTACCAATTGATCCGTAGCCTTGCTCGCGTCACTTGGGGCCTGAAAAGCACTGTCTCCAACTGCAATAAGTGACACTGGCATCTTGATCTTGCGATACTCCAAACCATGTGGGTTGTTCTTCACATACCTGCATAATCTGTTGGTTCTCTTCAAGTCCATGATCGTCGGCTTCTTCGCGATACGCTGCAAAGAACTCTCATATATCACGATGTCTAATCTCGTCTGTACTAAACATGCCACAGCTCCCAACAACGTGAGAAAACAAGCATTCAATTCTTCACTCAAGGGTTGGTCGTCACTCAACGTTTCGTAGTACGTGGCTGCCAATGGCTTAATAGCTGAGGCATAGTGACATTGATCCAAGACAATACACTTTCCATCATCCACAACTCGATGTCTGACACCAGTATGTATAAACGAATGCTCGATGTTCATCTTGACGTCCATGCCGACATGTTTCTGCAATATTTTAAGGAACTTCAATAGCGTCATCTTCTCGCCCGTCGCTTCATAATCATCCATATGTGTATTCACCATCAATACCAAATGTCCATTCTCGAAATTCAGGTAGATCTTGGGATCCGATATTGTAGGATATATAGTCTCCTTCTTGAGCACTTGGTCAGCTTTCATGGTAAACAAGTTAGGTGCATCAACCAATCCAAATCCACCCTTGAGCATCTCGAGACATTCAGTAGCATCGTTGAAATTCTCAAATCCTCGGATGGAACGAAGAACAACACTTCCAGCTGGCTCGGTACCACCTGGACCGCGGGGCAACACCATCGAAACCTGTCGTTTAGGTCCACCGCGTATTTGCTGCACTTCTTCGAAAGTCAATCCTTTCAAGAACGCCTGGGCAATGTCCAAAGAAGCAATAGGCCATTCAGACTGAGCAGCTGTAGCCACTACAGCTCGTTGCCCCCAGGAACTCGCCGTGCCGCTGAATTTATCCAGGTTGCCACGCTCCATATCCTTGAACCCATGCACTGTCAGACGACACTTCATAATACGGGTACCGTCACCCTGTAGCTTCCATGTGAGTACATATCCCGACGTCAACAAACTCCAGGCATCCTTCTTATTATGTCGCCTCACTGAGATGTTGTCAATCCAACGTAGCAATTCCGCAAGAACAGCTGCCTTCGCCAGCTCCGGGCTCTGCCCTGAGATCGTCGTCCGAAACTGACATATTGGACTGCGTCGTGTTGGTCTCTATGAGCGCTCTCTTGATACCTGCTTTGTCCACGTGAAGAACACAGACATCACCGTCACTCCATGTAGCGTCTTCTGGAAGATAACCACTCAAATAAGCCAAGTCTATTGGTAGTTGAATCTCCGCCGGGTCTTGAAGAATGGTCTTCACCACCTCACCATTGTCACTGGCAAGTCTCGTGGCGAAGGCTTTCACATCCTTATCATACTCTGATAATGCCAGCAAATCGTTGTCTGAGCACAGCTGGTACCGGGCCGCAACTCCGCGTAGGCGTGCAGATACTCGTATCCCAGCAACAAGCCCTCCATGTCGTACTCTGTCTCTGGGGGCGTGGCAGAACAAAACATGACCTTCCATTCATCCTCTTCCGTTTTGATGGCCAGGTATGGGTCTTCGTCCTCTAGTTATTTCTGCCAGGCTGCCCAGAACTCCGCGTCGGGTTCACCGTCATCTTCTGGGTCTGCACCCAGTCCTTGATCAGGAGAATCGTCCAAAGATATTGGCGACAATACCACTGGTGACTTGTTGTGCTGTTCATTGCGAACTCCTCCGAGCCGAGGAACTCCGGGTTCCTCTCGCACTGCCTGTCGCACCACATGATCCTCGTATAAGCAGAACTGCACCATGAATATCTTCTTCGAATCTCCTCGATCACCAAGTAGTACCTCCACATTAACACTTTGGCCACCCTCGATGAGGATGTATTCGTAGCTGCTCTCACTGTCCTGCGACCAAAACACAAGTACACTCACAGTAGCTCCTGCGCTCAAGGACGTTAATCACGATACTCCCGGAGCACACACTCCTGCCAAACATCTAGATACATGCAGCGCATTGCATGCCACATCCAGGATAGCATGAAACACCAGACTGTGCTTGACCGCATCCGCCGTTAGCTGCCAGCCCGCTCCTGTCTGCATCCAGCCCATCGTCACTGACTTCCTCCTAAGAGTGTTCGTGAAGTTGACTTCGCACTTCCAAGGGTTAAGTAGCCTGTCGTACTGAAGTCTAGCTGGGCACGTGTCCAGGAACATGGTCATGTACACCATAGCTCGCCGCAGGCTCTTGATAGGTACCGTGATATGTCTTCCTTACCATCGTACCGTCACCTTGCCGTGTTCGAGTTCTGTCAAGTCTGTGACTGTAGCTGGACCGACCCAGCCTGGACGGTCCTTCTGTCGAGACTTCCTGAAGATCTCCACTGAATCCCCATTCGTCAATGCCAGTTGGTCTCCAGCCATTGGTGTGCGTGACTTGTCGGCCAGGCGTAATCTGTGCTCTGCCATAGCTGAAACTACACTGCCAACGGATATCTCACGTAAACGATGTACGTTACGCAAACCATCCATTCCAGATTCATCCTGCATTCTAGCTTCACCAATCACATCCTCAATCTGTGGCAGCAACCGTGGCGCACGTCCAAATAATGACTGCTATGGCGTACTCTGCCCAGTGGAAAGCAGAGAGTTCTTGGCCAAGACCGACTCCGCAAGCACCTCCGTGAACGTAGCATCGATATTGTCGGCCTGAAGCTGAGATTGCGCACGATGAAGTTGACAACGAAGAATATCATGATGTCGCTCAGCAATCCAGGCCTTCTTGTCTTTAGGCTTTTTGACCAACTCGATATTCCAGCGAGTGGCCCATGTCTTCGCTTCGTCACTGGCCATGGCTCCTTCTCCGTCCCAGATCATAAGCTCGGGCGGGCCGAATACTCTGATCCACCGGGACGTCAACATGACTAAGATAGTGTGCCTTTCCTTGTCTGGAATCTCCTCTGCCACAGTCCATCGGATACATTCGTCAATAAGATGCAGGATTCTGTAGCTCCGTATGTGTGATCCTGTCTCGTCCGAGTAAAACATCAGATCTCCTTGAACAGACTGATTAAATCGCATGCTTATTCTTGTTGCCGTCCGAGCATGAGGTCCTACTCTTGCCCATGTTCTACATGTACGACATGTGTCTACCACCTCGGCAACCAACTTCATCACCTCCGGGGGTACTCCAACCAGCGACAGCAGTCTGGTCATCTGTGCGATCGTAGCATGATACCACCGTAGATGTAGTCGTCTAAGAGCCTTCTTCTTGGTCAGGACATCTGCGTCGTGAAGCAATCGGATCACGTGTCTGAAGTCTGAGTTGCCCCATACTTGAACGTCCTGGTCTTCACCTCCATGTGGCACTAGTGCTTGATATCGTTGATCTCGCGATCTAGTATCGACCCCGTGACGTAGTCGTCTTAGACCACCGTGTGGAACTGCTAGTCTATCTCCTGCATGTGGCTCTGGCGGCGGCGGTGCTGCTCCACCACCGTCCGCTCCTTCAGCTGCCGGGGGACCACCTGCCTCTTCTTCTGCCGGTTGCCCCTCAGCGCGGGGGGCCACTGCCTCTGGACGTTCTGCCTCGATATCGCCGTCCTCCAACTCGATTCAATCAGGGTCGTCGAACTCCCTGAGGTCAGCTGGTACTGCTCGTCGTAGTCGTTCTGCTTCCTCCACCTCAGCTGGCCCTGCTCTCGATCCAGTAGAGCCGCGAACGGAAACCACACATCCGCCAACGTCTCCTCCAGGCTGAACTGGTGGCTCGTCACGTTCATGTTGAGGAACCCTAGCTCCTTTAGGCCGTGCTGGTCCAGCTGATCCCGTTGCTTCCAGTCCCAGCTTGCACAGCTTGTCCGGCTCCACTGACTTGGCGTGGCTTTTATCTGATCGCGCCTTCGCCTGCAGACATGCCTGGCACTTATACGGCACAGAGGTTACCTGAGGATATTTACAATCTCCACCTCGGATGCGTGCCCGATGTTCCGAAGATCTTCGTCGCTTACATCCTGGGCATACTCTGTCCAAATCATCCTCCAAGACGGGATAGTGTTTTCTCTTGTCATGCGCGCGTTGCCACTTGCGACGATGTAGTAGCCGTTGTACTCCCCGGGCAAGCGCTCCGCCAGCCTCCATGGCCAAACCTGGGAAGCTGTTGCATGACCCTGAGCATCACACGATTGCCGTCGGAGCCTCCAGCAATGTCGCCACACTTGATGCCGTCGACGTAGTATATTAGATCGTAGTCAGATGCCCACAACGACGTCGGCTTGTTGACATGACCTCCTTCTGTCGTACGCGCACCCATCTGACACATGTGGAAATTTCCCACTACAGTACGCGGATGCTCACGAACCCTCGGCCAAGGGTCATAAGTGTACATGTCGCTCGCCGTGGGCTGTTCGTTCAACCAGTCTCTGCCGTCATCGCATTGAGCCAGAGCAACCACTGCACAGAATGTGGACAGCTTCAAGGCATAATCCAGGCTATCCTCCCACGTATCAGGGAATAACGTTCTATTCATGTATGACCAGCCTCCAAATGGACCACATAGTGGACTCATGATAACCACTCGAACTCCTCTCGATGAACGATAACTGAGGAATGCCTTCTGCCCACTGGGAGTGGTCAAGTCTGAGCCTGTGATGATTTCGAGATTATTGACAACCTTGGTGCGATATCGAATTAATACTATCGAAGTGCGGGCCTGTCCTCCGGCAATCTCGCATACGTCAAACTCGACATCGTCCATCTTGGATTGGAATACATTCATGGCTTCCATACACTTGAATATCTGCGCAAACGGAGTGCTTCTCGTGGCAAAATGAGGTGCCGACTGAAGTCCAGAAAACCAGTAAGGCTGAAACACGTTGTCCTCTATCATGTCATCGTCACTGTTGTAGTCAACAATCTCATTGTCCGAAAAGCCAACAGTGACCATCACATCCTTGCCTAGGCCACTCCAACCGTTGCCGCAGTCGTCGTAGTGCTTCTCGTGAAACTTGGCTTTGCCCTGCTGAGACCCAGAGGGCTGATTCATGATGTTCGTCTTGGTGTCCTCACCGCTCGCCTTCATGGCTGCCTTCTTCTGCTTCTGTCTCTCCTTCGCAGCCGTAGGTGAAACCATAGCAATCTTACTATCTTCAAATAACGCAACCCTCGCTCGATCGGTGAACTCTATCAAGTCGGCTCTGGACGCGGGCAACAGGCAGTCACTAACTCCCAGCAAGCCTGTGATAATGTTGCGGTGATTCTCCATCCTGATGTCGATTATTTCGCTCGGCTTGCCGGAGGAATAATTAATGTCTACATCCCGTGCAATAGAAGCATCGTGAGTGCATACCGTATCTTCCAAACGTTTTGTGGACACCATCTGCGAGCATAGCTTCAATGGCTTTGAAGTACCTGGCGATCCGGCCCTCCATGAGCAAGTGTCGTGGTGCGCGCAGTACACCTGCTGCATGTTGACGATACTCTGAATAGCTGACATCTGCGAAGCACTGGATCTTCGCGGAGCAAATATAGCGAAATCCATGTCTCTCTTGGTAGTGAGATATGTCGTGAACCTGCCCATAACTTTGCGATCGTTTCTCGTTCCCGAGCCGGTCCTGCAACGTGGGAGCTCTGCGATGACCAGGAAGGAGTCCTTCAAGAATCTGTCGCGTGCTTCCAACCACGAAGAGTCCAGGAACATCGTTCGGGATGCCATATGAATATGCGGATATCGTTCTGATAGTTGCTGCTGCATCTGGGCATCTTCGCTGATCAACACCACGCATTTCCTCTGCACCTCCTCTACGCTGGTCTCCTTCGTACTGGCAGTCGAACCCGCCGACTCTGAAGGCGGCGGCACTGCCCCCGGGCTGAGGCAGCCCGCCTCGCTTTGTCAGGTTGAGGGATTCCAGCCCACCAACTTCTTATCCGCTGTCGGTGTCCTGGTGGTAGGAGTGACAGAAGATGAAGATGATGCAGCAGAACCTGCGCCTGCCGTAGCTTTCGTGGAAATATTGAATTTATCCGTCGTCATCGCCATGTTGCTCGTCTTTGTGGGTTGTCCGTCTTGCTGCCGTCGAAATCGACTGGCGGGAATCTGACAATGACCCGACTTCGCCTCGATCATCTGAAAATGCTTGCTGCCCGGAGAGGCCTCTATCTTCGCGACACCAGGTCCAAGAAACCATATCTCTCCGGCCTTGCAGCGAATAAGAGCGTCATTGCGTTCAAGACTCTGAATGCCCATCAGCCCTGAAACTCCTGAGTTCTCCAAGCACGGTGCCCTGAAGATCTCCTCGTGGTACACTCCTTCGGTGTCAACCATGCCCGTGGTCAGCTCCACCTCGTAATTAGCCTGTTGTGAACCGTTACCAACTCCAGCAACATAGCGCGGTTCTATCGGCGACTGTTGATTGACCTTTTTCTGGTACTCGCTGCACTTCACCGCCTGACGCCGAGCCCATTGATCTCCACATAATCCGCCATGTGCTCCAGTATCTGGCATCAGACCGACCTCCTCGTTAGGTAGTGCCATGTTGCTTGAGAATACTTCATACTCGCGCGCACAGCTGCTTGAAGGCCACCATGGTCCAAAGAATGAACTCAATCGCACTGGATCTCCCGCTGATGATGATGCCGCACTGGCACTGGCACTGCTCATGTCCGCGATGATATTGGGTCACCGATTTGGTATAATCATAAGTGCGAAGCGGGTCTGCATAGGATCCATCTGGTTACCTTCGCTCCAGGCAACCACTCCTCGCATCACTGTGGCCAGATCTTCCATCATAGCTGAGACCTGAGGGCGGTCATCATGACCGTCTGCGATGTTCTGAGGGGTAGCCGGCGCCGCCTCCGCAACCGTAGTCCTGCATAGCGGACACGCAGGAGGGTCGCCAACTGCAACAGCGACACTTAATGCCGCACAATCTCGACAAAAGTGAGCATGCTCACATGGCATCAACTTCGTGTTCACCTCCTGCTCCAGGCATATGATGCAATGCTCCTCGTTCGTTGACCTGTTCGGAATATTACGTCGTGGTGGCCGCGGTCCATCTCGAGGAGACGCTGGAACAGGAACAGCGGCTGCTTCCGAAATTGCACGCCGATCATGTTCTGCAACACCCGTCCGAAGACGTCGATCGTGTTCTCGCATATTTTCTGCAACATGGTCACTGGCAATCGCGACCCTCGTCGGTCCCTCAGGAGTGCGGAATTTATCTGGCGGGGTAGTCGCCGGCGGGGTTACGAATCCTGA